GGGTGGGGGTATGGATTGGGGAATATTGGGGAGGCGCACGAGTTGTTGCCGTGGGCGGAGCCGAATTCGAGGATTGTGAGGGGGCGCGAGGTTGGGTCTTGCTGCTTTGCTTTGGATGCTGTCGCTGCTGCGGATAGGAGAGGCAGGGCGTGGAGCATGGCGGCGTGCTGCAGGGCCGAGTTGGAGCTGTAGAAGCCGTTGCCGTGCATGGGCACGTCATTGGCGCTGACTTTGGCGGGGGACATGTTGATGGCCTGGATTTACTTGATGGGTCTTTGCTGGGTCGTTTGAGTGTGTAGGGTACTGGTTACGGTCGTGGTGGTATATATACTAGCATCTGCAGTCGTCGGCGAGTTACAGCCGGCGAGATTCGGTGGGTTGCTACTGTTACGGATGCATTCGATGCATAGCTCGATGATAGTAGGAAATTCCGGGACTTTTGTGCGTTACAGCTCAGGGATAAGGGTTGTTTTAAGCCGGGAAGTTGAAAAAAAGGGGGGTCCGGGGGTTCTCCCCCGGGACGGTAGATTGTAGAACTTAGATTTAAGTGTTACTGGGAAGGTGAAAGAAAGGGGGGTCCGGGGGTTCTCCCCCGGAACGGTATATTCTAGGACTTAAGACTAAGGTACCTAGGAAGATCACAACAACATGAACTCTGTACAGCATCAGGGCTACAGCTACCTCCTTCCCACGGTCATGAGATATCTGTGTCCCCGCATCTGCTGCGCGATCCGAAACACGGTCGACTCATCCTGGCCCGGCACGTACTCGAACCGAAAGCGCCGGAGCAGCGAGACCAGCGAGAGATGCATCTCCTGCGCGGCGAAGTGCTTGCCGATGCAGACGCGACTGCCCGCCGAGAACGGGTAGTAGGGGAGGCTGTTGGCCTCGCCCTTGGCGTAGACGTCCAGCCAGCGCTCGGGGAGGAACTCGGTCGCGTTCGGCCACAGAGCCTCGTCCAGATGCACCTCCTGCGTCGTGGGGAAGACCGTCGTGCCCTTGGGGATGTCATACCCCAGCAGGGTCTCGTCCTTGCGCGACTCTCGCGGACTGCCCGTCGCCTGGCCGGGGACCAGGCGCATGGTCTCGTCGATGCACGCCTGCAGATAGACCATGCCGGACATGCTGTAGTCGCAGTCCGTGGGGCGCGGGTCGCTGCGGGGATACCAGCGGTCGATCTCCTCGTAGAGGGCGGCGAGCTTGCGTGGGTGGCGCAGGAGGTGGATGAGGGTGAACAGCTCGGCGTTGGCGGTGGTCTCGCTGCCGGCGATGAGCAGCACGACGCTCTCGTCCTGGATGTCGGAGACGCGGAACGGCGAGGCGGGGCTCTCGTCCGCCGCTTCGATCATCTTCTGGAGCAGGTCCTCGCGGGGCGGGCCCTGGCGGCTGGCGATCTGCGCGCGGCGCTTCGCCACGATCTCGTTGGTGAACCAGCTGACGTAGGGGTCGCGGTTCGGGATGAAGGGGATCTTGGTGAGCCACGGCATGAACTGCAGGATGCCCGAGAGCTTGAGCGCCTGCTTCAGCCGGTCCGGCAGCGGATGCGACCCGTTCTTGACCAGGTCGAAGGTCTGCCCGAACGTCGTCACGCCGATGATGTCCGCCGCCAGCGACTGGATCATGTGCTGCATGTCCACGGTGGTGGTGCCGTTGGCACACTGTCTGTCGAGCTCATCCACCAGCACGGAAATGCAGTCGCGCATCAGTGGCTGCATGCTGCGGATGTACCGCAGGCCGAACATGCTCGAGACGAGGCGTTTGCGCTGGCTGTAGGCCTTCTTGTCGGTGAAGGCCAGGAGGGTCGGCCGCTGCGGGTCCTGCCGGAAGTTGCCGTACACAGCTTCCGATTTGGCCCAGTCCTCCGTGTGAACGATGCGTTTGATCTCGCGGGCGTCGGAGATGGAGATCATGGTCGGGGAGAGGGCGACGATGGGGCCGTACTTCTTGTGCAGGCCGACGGTGAAGATGTGGCTGGGTTGTTAGACCCCTGTGACGATCTTGAGGGGGGAGGAGATTACCTTTCACCCTTGGCGATTGCGATCTTGAGGGGTAAGGAGGTGAGTTTGTGGAGCCATGAACCGGGAATGCGCGACACCGGGGAGAAGAGTCGCTGCAGGTACCGGAATAGCTTGGGGATGATGTAGCCGACGAGGAGGAGCGTCCAGACGAGGTTCATGCCGGAGAGGTAGGGCTTGAGGAGCCCGGTGATGTCGTGCATTTTCGCCATGGTGGCTGTCTTTTTTGGAGTGGGCGGTGGTCCTAATGGACGCTGGTGGACGCTGGCTATTTATCTAGTGGAACAAGTGAACAGTGAACTATGTAGTGACTACCGGCGATGGCCAAAAGTCGCCGATCCGCCAGCTGGGCTCAGCCCAATGCTAATACCAGTGGCATGACTGGTTATGAAGGCCCAGTAAGACTACTGACCCGTTGTTCCTATTGAATAACACTCAAACCTAAGTCATTGAGTATACCGTCCCTGGGGAGAACCCCCTGACCCCCCTTCTTTTCAGCTTCCCATAACACTTAACCCTAATATATACAGAATCAGACGCCCCGGGGGAGAACCCCCGGACCCCCCTTTCTTTCAACTTCCCATAACACTCAACCCTAATGTATACACAGAGTAAGACGTCCCGGGGGAGAACCCCCGGACCCCCCTTCTTTCCAGCTTCCTGGTAACACGCAATCCCAATACATACCAAGCCTAACAGAATTTTCCCCCAACGATCGTCAATACCCCTATTTGTACACATGCACCGATTTAACCTGACAGAACCCCAACAGCCCCTCCAGCCCATACTCGACCCCCACCCCGCTCTGCTTATGGCCGCCAAAGGGCACGTAGGCATTTGGCTTGGGCGGCCCGTTCACAAACACATTCCCCACGTCCAACTGGGCCGACACTCTCTCCGCCAACTCAGCATCCGCCGTCCAGACAATCGCGCTCAACCCGGTGGTGCCCTCGTTCACGATGCCCACCACTTCATCCGCGGTATCGAACGGCTTGCAAGAGACGACAGGCCCTGCAATCCACAACAGTCACAGTCAGTACAAACCCACGGGTCAATCGATCACCAGAAAACCCACCAAAAACCTCCTCCTGCAGGACCCCCGCCTCATCCGGGGGATTATCCAGCACGACGGGCCGAACAAACAGCCCCTGCTCCTCGCCCCCCTTCTTCCCCTCCTCCCCACCCGCCACAAACCTCAGCCCTAATTCCCTACACTCCCGCAGCACCGCCTGCACCTTCTCAAACTGCATCTCATTCTGCACCGGCCCCACACCCCCCGCCATCTTCTGCGTGACATCCCCCAAAACCCTCACAAACTCCCCATAAACAGACGAATGCACATACAGCCGCCGCGCATTGATGCACACCTGCCCCGCATTGAACCACAACCCGCCCGCAATCTTCGCGGCCGTCGCCGCGACATCCACATCCGGGAAAACAATCCCGACGTTGTTCCCGCCGCTGCGTGCGTCAGCCCGTCTCTTCGGCTTTTGGGAGGGGAAGGGCATACGTTTCCAGGGTAAACCGCTTCATGGTCTCGGCGCAGCCGCGCATGATCTTCTGGCCGGTGGCAGTGGACCCCGTGAAGGAGATCTTCTGGATGCGCGGGTGGTGGACGAGGAGGGGGCCGAGCGTGTCGTCGCCGCTGAGGGCTTGGAGGATTCCCGGGGGGAAGATGCGTTGCGCGAGGTGGATGAGTTTGAGGGTGGTGTAGGGGGTGAATGGTCTTGTTTGTTAGTTGGGTTTGGGGTGCTACAGGGGGGAGGGGAAGGGGAAGGGGGACGGACGAGGGTTTGACGATGATGGTGTTGCCTGTTGCGATTGCGGGGGCGATTTTGCCCATTGCTAGGGGTAAAATTTTAGAAACTGCTTGGAGAAGTGGGTGATGGATGCGGTAAATACCTAGGCTGATGGGGACTGGTGCTGGTTAGCAAGCATGGCTGGTGGTAAAGGGCAAGGCACGTACAGTTCCACGGACAGATGGCGGCGACCACGCCCAGGGGCTCGTACTTGGTTATCGCTACGAGCTCGTCGTCTTCGTGCTTCGTCTCGGGGAGGGTGTACTTGGCTGAACACGCGTCAGCTTGGTGTTCCCTTATGTCTTGCGGTGACCTGTACGCACCCGGATACCGCAACCACTCCGCCGCCCAGTATACCTCGATCGCGGCCGTTTGTCTCTGTCTTCGTCAAAACCTGCACACTAGGAAGACACACCGCAAAAAAAAAAGAAAAAAGAAAAAAGGCAAGGCATACACTCCGCCCCGTCTCCGCCATCAACAGCTCCACAAACTCCTCGGCATGCTGGAGGTAGAGATCCGCGAACTCGCCCAGCAGCCGCGTGCGCTCGGTGTAGGGCACCGTCGCCCAGCCGCGGGAGGCCGCTGTGGCGGCGGCGACCGCGTCGTCGACATCCTGCGCGGTCGCGACCGGGACGTCCCACAGTTTGGCGCGGGTGAGCGGCGAGACGCCCGCGTGGACGGTGGCGGCGGAGCGCGGCTGGCCGGCGATGATGTTGTGGAAGGTGGTGAAGTCGAGGGACATGGTGTCGTCTGTCTGTGCGGAGGGGTTGGGTGTTGGAGCAAGCTTGTGTTGTCTGAGTTTGGTGTTCTGTTCTTCTATCGACATGTGTGCAAGTGGTGTCGGCGAGTTTCGGTGAGTTCGGCGGCTCTCTCAGCCTTAAGCCCTGGAATGAACACGTTCCGGGGGAGAACCCCCGGACCCCCCTTTTTTTCAGCTTCCCGGTAACCTGTATTTTAAGACTTAACTGGGACTTGAGTGTGGCCAGGAAGCTGAAAGAAAGGGGGGTCCGGGGGTTCTCCCCCGGGAAGCCCTACTCTAGGTACACATCAGGATGCGCACTACCGGTTGAACACAGGGAGTCACGGCCCTATTGCAGAGTCAATGTAGTAGCTACCTAGTCATGAATATAGCTCTCTGGACAGAGCATCGATTGAGTTGGTTCGAATGCAGTAAGACAGAGACAGTCTACCTCGCCTCCTCCACCCGGCCGCCCTTCCCCATCTCGACCCCCTCCCCTACGATCCTCGTCTTGGACTCCCCTTCCCCCTCGGCCTGCATCCCATACTCGGTATTCAGCTCCTCCCGCAACCGATACGCCTTGACCAAGAAGCACAGCAGGAACCCCACCCCGCAGAACGCAATACTGACCTGCCACACCTCCCGTAGACTGATCACGTACAGCCGCCGAATCGCCCGCATCACCTCAGGTCTGTCCTTGAACGAGCTCATAAACGCCTTGGTAGCGCGCTCGTACGCCCCTCCGTTCACCAGCAGCCCCCTGACCGTAGGATCATCGATCGTCTGCGACGCGAGGGTATTCGCTTTCGTATTGAACACCGCCGCGGGGATCGCGGTGCCCCAGATGGCGCCGAAGTTGCGCATGAAGATCCAGGTGGCTGTGCCGGTGGCGACGTCGCTTTCGGGGAGACTGGCGAGGATTGGGGGTAGACCGGTCGTGAAGACGATGCCGGTGCCGACCCCGAACAGGATCTGGTAGCCTGTCCATTCGCCGGTGGTGGTGGACTGATCCAGCAGGGTGAAGAGCCCGCAGGCGATGGTCATCAGGGCGAAGCCAACGTACTGGAAGCTCCGATAGCGGCCGGTCTTGGTCATCAGGATGCCGGCGACGATGCCGGCAGGGGCGGTGGTGGTGGCGACCGGGAAGAGCATGACGGCGGAGCGGGTCGGGGTGGCGTTGAGCACGGCCTGGAAGTAGATGGGCAGGAAGTAGCACACCCAGAACAGGAGCAGGCTGTAGATGAAGGCCATCACGAACAGGGTGGCGGCGGTGCGGTTGCGGAACAGGCGCAGTGGCATCGTCGGTTCGGGCGGCAGCGCCTCGTAGGCGATGAACCCGAGCAGTCCCACAAACCCGAGGACGAGGGGCACGATCGTCCGCCACGAGGACCACGGGTGCGTGGTGCCCGCCCAGGTGAGCGAGAGGAGGATGGCGGTCACGCCCAGGGTGAGCAGGGTGATGCCGCCCCAGTCGATGGTGCGCAGACGGCGCAGGATGCTCGTGTCGGAGCGGGGGTTGCGGACCCGCAGGAGGGTCACGATCAGGAACAGCGAGCTGCCCGCGATCGGGAGGTTGATGTAGAAGATCCACCGCCACGACACGTTCTGCGTGAACCCCCCGCCCATGATGGGCCCGACCACGGCGGCGAGCGTCCAGGCGGCGCCTAGGATCCCCGCGTAGACGCCACGCTCGCGCAGCGAGACCATGTCGCACACGAGCACCTCGGAGAGCGTGGTGATGCTGCCGCCGCCGAGGCCCTGGATGGTGCGGCCCGCGAGCAGCATCCCCGTGTTGCGCGCGGCGCCGGAGATGGCGCTCCCCACGGCGAAGATGAGCAGCGCGAGGGTGGTCATGCTGCGCCGACCGAAGATGTTGGACAGTTGGCCCACGATCGCCGACGAGACGGTCGAGGACAGGAGGTAGGTGTTGATGATCCAGATGTAGAGCTCCTCGGAGCCCAGGTCGGCGGTGATGGTGGGCAGGGCGGTCGAGATGATCGAAGTGTCGAGAGCGGCCACGAAAGTCGCGATCCCGATGGCTAGGAAGATGAGCCAGAAGCGCAGGCCCTTCTTGGGAGGGGCATTCGGCTGTGCTGGCACATTGTGTACATTGTGTTCAGACATGTTGTACTTGAGAGTAGGGAGGAGGGGGCCAGTGTGATATGACTAGGGTCTATATAATTTGGCTGAGGGGCTGAATCTCGCCGAAAGGATTTATTCCCTGCGGTTACACTGCAGATCATATAAGCTACGCAATGCTCAACCCTAATGTACACCTGGAATAATAAACACGTTCCGGGGCAGAACCCCCGGACACCCCCCGTTTATCAATTTCGATTTCCCAATAAGCCTCAATTCTAAGTCCCAGAGTATGCCGTCCCGGGGGAGAACCCCCGGACCCCCCTTTCTTTCAGCTTCCTGGCAATACTAACCCTAAGTCCAAAGTAAACACATCCGGGGGAGAACCCCGGACCCCCCTTCCTTTCAGCTTCCAACACTCCTACACGCTGCAGCCCACTAAACAGGAGCCACCTTCCGTACGGCAACCAAGCACGGCTCCCCAAACACCTCCCTCACCCTCTCCGCCGCAACCACCCGAAGATACCACCGCACCACCCGGGGGAACCGCCCCCTCATCTCCTCATCGATGTAATGCATGAACGCCCAGAACAGCGCCGACGCGAGCGTCAAATCCGCCAAGGACAACCCCCCCTCCGTCGCCAGGTACTCTTTCTCCTTCTCCCCCCCCGCAAGATGCCGCTCCACCACTGCCAACGCCTCCTCCAACCCTTGCGCCCCCTCGCCATCGACTCCCGCATCGTACTCCCGCATCCCCACGCGCCACAGCACCACCGCCGCCATGTTCCGGAACACCTCGTTCTCCGCGAAGCAGATCCACTGCCGCACCGCCGCCTGCTCGGCGACATTGCGGCCCAGCAGCGCCGGCGCCGCGGGCCCGCACCCCGCCACGTACTGCGCGATCGCGTCGGATTCGACCAGCGTCACCTCGCCGTCGGAAGATTCGAAGGCGGGGACCTTGCCGGTGGGGAATTTCTGGAGGAATTCGGGGGATTTGTTGGCCGTGCCGAAGGCGAAGGGTTGGGGGATGTCGAGGGTGAGGTTGTTTAGTGCGGCTGCGGCTTGGATCTGGTGTTTGTTAGGAGGTGGGGAGGGAGGAAGGGAAAGGGGTAAGGGGGTTGAGGAGTCACCTTCAGGACCCGCGCGTTGGGCATGTATGTGTACAGACGGCCGATGGGTGCCATTGTTGTGCTGAATGGTTGGTTGGTGGTTGGAAGTTTGGAGTGGGCGCAATCGGCGGAGACGCGGCGGGATTATATACCTGCCTGTTGACACTCGCTGCCTCCGAAGGATGTGAGATTACTGATGGAGCTAAAAGGCTTTGCAATAAATTTAAGAAGATTTGTAGTGATTGGAGCTAAGTCAAAGGATGTTATCCGATAGCAGACAAAACAGTAGAAACTTCGTAATCTGGGACATAGACGCTGAAAGCTCCGAAGGACAATCGGCTACTTTCCACTACAGTCACAAACGCACCGAACCACTATCTAGACAACCGTCCCCCGCTTGATCTCAAACTGCTCATCCAGCCAGGCAAACATCTTCTGGTGAAACACCGCCCACGCCCCAATCTTGGCCTGCAGCCCACCCCCCTCGACCCCCTTCCCGACCCACAACCGCCTCTTCTGCGGCGGGAGATGCCCCAGCGCCTCGAAGATCGGCTCCGTATTCTGCTTTGGCGTAAAATAGAATGTATCCGCCGCCCCCGTCACAAACGTACTGCACTTGACCTTCTCCAAAACTCCCCTGGCGTGGTACTGCTGCATGCAGCGCATCACCTCCGCCGGCGTCTCCACCCCATACACCCACATGCTGTGGCCGAACTCCCATCGCAGCTGGAAACTCCACCGAGCCAGTCTATTGACCACCCAGTTGAAGAACCCGTCGCTGAGCCGCCCACTCAGCCACCCATTGATAAACCACCCGGGCATGCGACTGCGCGTCACGTCGAAGAGATCGTAGCACGCATCGCACGAGACGCACGCCCGCACGCGCGAGTCCGCCGCCGCCCGCAGAGCGAAGTACCCGCCCAGCGAGGCGCCGACCACTGCCACCCTCTCCAAGTCGATCGGATAGTCCTTAGCCAGCTGGCTCTCCACCACATCGAGCACTTTGGTCGTCACGTGCTCCCAGTCCGGGCGCAGCCGCAGCCCGTCGCGGCGGAGGCAGATGCCCTGGCCCGGTCCCTCGAAGGTGAGCACCGCGTAGCCGCGCGGAAGTGCAGCCGCCGGCCCGAAGAAGTACAGTTCCTCCTGCGTCGAGTCGAACCCGCCGGTCATGATGAGGAGCGGGAGCCTGCTTTTGCCTTGGCTTTGGCCTGCTTGCGCGGCACCCGACCGGGGGAGATACAATCTGCCCGGCAGCCGCGCAGCCCCCTTCTCCTCCTCGTACGGAATCTCCACCCGCGCCACCGTGCATGTATCCAGCAGATCCACCCCCTTGTCGAACACGGCGACACTATGCTCGATCGCCGCGAGCAAGCGCGGGTCGTCCGGCCGGGTGTGCAGGAAGAACTCGCTGGCGCGGAAGTAGTTGCTGGCGCGCAGGTAGGCCCCCGAGGCGGCGAGCGTGTCCCCGGAGACGAGCGCCTCGTCGCCCAGCCCCCGCGCCTGCTGCGCCTGCGCCGTCCACGCCCGGTACCACGCCTCGGCGTCCCCGTCTGCCACCTGCGGGAGCACCGCCAGGCACTCGCCTGTCTCGGCCCCGCCGGCGGGCGCGCTGGCCAGCACTCGGAGGAACTCGAAGTGGAAGAAGTCGGATGGGTAGAATTTGAACATTGCGGTAGTTGTCTGGATGAGAAGGATGCCGCAAGAGGTGTGAAGTTGAGATGGGGAGTTAAGAGGCAGGCAAGGCTGGCCGGGGAGGGGAGTTCGGCTGGTCGGCGACTTTGTTGGCGCCGACCGCGAGGATTGGAGGAAATTGTATACGTATCCGTATACTTCATAAAATGGTTTGTCTTCGGTCGGATGACAGAGAACAAAACCAGATCTTTTGTAATATATCTATACCCTAGACGCAATTCCCCTTTCATTCCGTGTCTTTCTTTTCAACAACTAGACACACACTCGCACACACCATGACGCTCCCCCACTCCACCACCAGCAGCAGCACCGGCACCCCCGAGCCCATCGCCATCGTGGGCATGGGGTGCCGCTTCCCGGGTGGGGCCAACACCCCCAGCAAGCTATGGGATCTTCTATGCTCCAAGCGCGACGTGCAGCGCCGCATCCCGACCGAGCGGTTCGACGTCGACGCCTTCTACGACCGGGACGGCGAGCGGGCGGGCTGCCTCAACGTGCGCGAGGCCTACACGCTGGACGAGGACATCCGGCAGTTCGATGCGGCGTTCTTCAAGACGAACGCGCTCGAGGCCGAGGCGATGGACCCGCAGCAGCGCCTGCTGCTGGAGACGGTGTACGAGGCGCTGGAGTCGGCGGGCGGGGTGATGGACGCGCTGCACGGCTCCGACACCGCCGTGTATGTGGGCGTAATGACGGGCGACTACCACGAGCTGCTGCTGCGCGACCCGGAGGACATGCCCAAGTACATGGCCACCGGCACCGCGCGGAGCATCCTGTCGAACCGCATCTCGTACTTCTTCGACTGGACGGGCCCCTCCATGACCATCGACACCGCCTGCTCGTCCAGCCTGGTCGCCGTCCACGAGGCCGTCCAGGCCCTCCGCCAGGGCCGCTCCGCCCTCGCCTGCGCCGCCGGCGCCAACCTCATCCTCGGCCCCGAGATGATGATCTCCGAGTCCAAGCTGCACATGCTCTCGCCCACCGGCCGCAGTCGCATGTGGGACGCCGCCGCTGACGGCTACGCCCGCGGCGAGGGCTTTGCCGCCGTCATGCTTAAGACGCTGAGCCAGGCGGTCGCGGACGGCGATTATGTCCATGGCGTTATCCGCGAGACCGGCGTCAACTCCGATGGACGTGAGTACCCTTCTTTCCCTCGTGTTAGCTTTGTTCTTGTTACTTGTAAGGGTGGTCCGGGGATAAGGCTTCCCGGGGGAGAACCCCCGGACCCCCCTTCTTTTCAGCTTCCTGGTTACACTCGACCCCAGTCCTAGAATGCGGGTTTAAAGCTGAAAAGAACGGGGGCCCGGGGACCCCCCGGGACGTGGCTATCCCAAGACTGAGGACTGAGTGTAGCCAGGAAGTTGAAAGAAAGGGGGGTCCGGGGGTTCTCCCCCGGGACGTCTTATTCTCGGCCTTTGGATTGGGGTCTATTGGGAAGCCTTACTCCAGACGGCTAATGGAAGTACAGGAACGAACGGAATCACCCTCCCCGGAGCAGACTCACAGACGGCGTTAATTCGGCAGACGTATGCACGCGCCGGGCTGGACATCGACTCCCAGCGGTGTCAGTACTTCGAGGCCCACGGGACGGGCACCCCGGCCGGAGACCCTATCGAGGCGCGTGCGATCTACAATGCATTCTTTGCCGCGTCCAGCGAACAGGCAGGGACGCCGCTGTACGTCGGGTCGGTGAAGACGGCGGTCGGCCATCTCGAGGGCACAGCTGGCCTGGCGGGGCTGGTCAAGGCCGTCGAAGCTGTCCGGCGCGGGGAGATTCCTCCCAACATGCTGTTCGAGTCGCTTAACCCGGAGATCCAGCCGTTCTACCACCGCCTCGCTGTTCCGACGGAGACGATTCCATGGCCGCAGGTGCGGGAGGGAGAGCCGCGTCGCGCGAGCGTGAACTCTTTCGGTGCGTTTCTTCGAGTGTGCGACAGGATAAAACGTGCTAATGTAACCAGGCTTCGGCGGAACCAATGCGCACGCTATCATCGAGTCGTACGACAACCCACATCGATGCCCGTCAACGTCTACATCCTCCCTCTGCACACCCCTAGTTCTCTCTGCTAACTCTGAGACTTCGCTGCGCGGGCAAATCGAAGCTTTCCACACATTCCTCTCCACCACCGACACCCCAATCCACGACATCGTCTACACCCTCCAGAGCCGGCGCTCGCAACACCCCGTGCGCGCCACCTTCTCGGCCCCCGACCGAGAAACCCTCAGCACAACCCTCTCCAAAGCCGTCGCCAGCGACTCCCCCCTCGGAACCCGCGTCGACAAGAAACCTGCGAAGCCACGGATCCTGGCCGTCTTCACGGGCCAAGGCGCGCAATGGCCGACGATGGGCCGGGAGATCCTGCGCGGCTCCCCGCTCGCCCAGCAAACCCTCTCCACCCTGCAATCCGCGCTAGACACCCTCCCCGACGGGCCCGACTGGTCCCTGTCCACCGAAATCCTCGCCGACAAAGCCACCTCGCGTCTCGCCGCAGCCAGCGTGGCGCAGCCCCTCTGCACGGCCGTGCAGATCCTCCTGGTGGACCTCCTCCGCCAGGCCGGGATCACCCCCAGCGTCGTGGTCGGCCACTCCAGCGGCGAGATCGCCGCCGCGTACGCCGCGGGCATGATCTCGGCGGCGGAGGCGATCCGCATCGCGTACTACCGCGGGGTGCACGCGGCGCTGGCGCGCGGGCCAAACGGCCAACGCGGCGCGATGATGGCAGTGGGGATGTCGTACGACGAGGCGACGGAGTTCTGCGAGGAGAACTTTGCCGACCGGGTCGAGGTGGCGGCCAGTAATGCACCCAGCAGCGTGACGCTGTCCGGGGACGAGGATGCGATCGCCGAGGCGAAGGCGGTTCTCGAATCGCGGGGCGTCTTCGCGCGACCGCTGCGCGTCGATACCGCGTACCACTCTGCGCACATGATCCCGTGCTCCGAGCCCTACCTCGACTCCCTGGCGGCGTGCGAGATCGCCCCCCAGCAGGCGCGGCAGGGCTGTGTGTGGGTGTCCAGTGTGCACGGCGCGCGGATGGAGGGATTCCGCATCGAAGCGCTGACGGGGGAGTACTGGAACGACAACATGGTCAGTCCGGTGATGTTCTCCACCGCCGTGGAGATGGCCCTCAGTGAGGAGGAGGTGTGCGACGTGGCGATCGAGATCGGCGCGCATCCCGCCCTCAAGGGCCCCTTCACCCAGACCGCTAAGCAGGTGGCAGCAGCAGCAGCAGCAGCAGCAGCAGCAGCAGCATCGAGTGCGGCACCGCTCCCCTACAGCGGGACCCTGAGTCGCGGACAGCACGACCTCGAGGCCCTCAGCGAGACGCTGGGGTTCTTGTGGACGCATCTCGGGGCCAAGGCGGTCGACTTCGCGGCCTACACCTTGGCCTTTACCGACGCCCTCCCGCAGTGGGTGCCCGACCTGCCGCGGTACAGCTGGGACCACCGCCAGTCTTTCTGGCGCGAGTCCACCAGATCCGCCAACTTCCGGTCGCGGCCCCCGCGGCACCCGCTACTGGGGGTGCGGTCGAGCGAGGATCTCGACCAGGAGATGCGGTGGGCGATCACGCTCCGCACGCAGGAGCTGCCCTGGCTGGAGGGCCACAAGGTCGAGGGGCAGGTCATCTACCCCGCGGCCGCGTATCTGGTGATGGCGATGGAGGCGGCCCACAGCCTGGTGGGCGAGGGCCAGAGCGTGCAGGTGCTGGAGCTGTGCGACGTGGAGATCGCCAACGCCATCCCGCTGCCCGAGGACGGCAAGGGGGTCGAGGTGCAGTTCACCCTCGTCCCGTCCCCGGGCCACTCCAAATCGGCGACCAAGACGGCGCAGTGGGCGTGCTACGCCCGCACCGCGGGGTCCGGCAAGTCCTCGTGGCGCAGCAACGCGCGCGGCACCGTGCGTGTCGTCCTGGGCTCGGCCGCGGACGCGGACGCGGACGCGGACGAACTCCTCCCCCCGCGCAACCCGCCGACCGGGGTATTTCACGAGGTAAAGACAGACCGATTCTACGAGGCCCTGACAGCCATCGGGCTGCACTACACGGGCCCCTTCCGGGGACTGGACAACGTACAACGCCGATCCGGGACGGCCATGGCGACTGTTACCCAGATCCCGGCCGCGGAGCTGGGCGTGCCCATCCACCCGGCTGTTCTGGACGCGGCCTTCCAGACGCTGTTCGCAGCCTACTGCTGGCCGGAGGACGGGAGCCTGCGCGCGCCGTTCGTGCCGACAGGCCTACAAAGTCTGCGCATCGTCAACCGCGACATCGTGCAGGCTAGCGCCCAGCTCACGGTCGACGCGTGCATCACGCACTCGTCGGGGACGACCATCATCGCGGACCTGGACCTGACCAGCCCCAACCCCACCAACGCGGGCCTCATCCAGCTGCAGGGGCTGCGGTGCTCGAGCCTGACGCCGCCGGGCCCAAGAGACTACAAAGAGCTGTACACGCAGACGGCGTGGGAGGTGGACGTGTCCAGCGGGCTGGCGCCGCTCTCCACCCTCAGCTCGGCGGACTCCCCCACGGACCTCGCCCTGGTGGACCTCAGCGAACGCCTAGCCTACTACTACCTCCGGCACCTCAACACGACCATCCCGCGTTCCGCGGTCCCGCACATGGAATGGCACCACCAGCGCATCTTCGAATGGATCGACCACCTCTTCCCGCTCATCGCCGCCGGCAAGCACCCGACCATCCGCGCCGAATGGTCCACCGACACGAAACCCCAGCTCCTCGCCCTCGCCTCCCAGTACCCTTCCTCCGTCGACCTAGAACTCATCCGCGCCGTCGGCGAGCACCTCCCCGCCGTCGTCCGCGGCGAAGCCTGGATGCTGGAGCACATGGTGGCGAACGACACGCTGGACCGGTTCTACAAGTCCGGGCTGGGGTTTGCCCGGGCGAACGGGTACATGGGCCGGGTGGCAGGGCAGATCGCGCACCGGTATCCGCGGGCGAGGGTCCTGGAGATCGGGGCGGGGACGGGCGGCGCCACGAAGGGGATTCTCGAGGCCCTCGACGGGAGGTTTGAGAGGTATACGTTTACCGATATCTCGACGGGGTTCTTCGAGGCCGCTGCTGCGCAGTTTGAGCGGTGGGCCGGGAAGATGAGCTACCGGGCGTTGGATGTGGAGAAGGAGCTTGGGGAGCAGGGGTGGGGTGGGGAGGAGGGTGGGTTCGATGTCATTGTCGCGTCGAATGTGCTGCACGCGACCAAGTCGCTGCGTAGAACGATGGAGAATGTGCGGCGGTTGTTGAAGCCGGGCGGGTTTTTGTTGTTGTTGGAGGTGACGAGTGAGATTGTTAGGGTCAAGTTGATGATGGCGGGGCTGCCGGGGTGGTGGTTGGGCGGCGAGGATGGCCGGCGGTATGGGCCCACGATCACGGTGGGGCAGTGGGATGCTCTGCTCAAGGAGACGGGTTTCGCCGGCGTCGATCATGTGGTGAATGATTTTGTGGACGAGCGCAAGTATATGACCTCGGTTATGGTGACGCAGGCCGTGGATGCGGATGTGCGGGTGCTGCGCGAGCCGTTGAACGCGGGCTGGACCCTGCCGCCGGTCACGGTTGTTGGGGGCCAGAAGGGGCTGGCGGGGCGGGTTGTCGAGGCCCTCGGAGGTGCGGGGGGTGTTCAGCTGGTCGAGAACCTGGAAGGGTTGTTTGTGCAGCCTGATGTCGCAGTCACCTCGTTGGTGATTCTGGAGGATTTCGACCACCCCGTGCTGCAGGATTTTACCCCGCGCAAGCTGGAGGCGCTGCAACGCGCCCTCCCCGAGTGCAGGCAGCTGCTCTGGGTGTCCGGCCAGTGCCGCGAGCAGAACCCCTACGGCAACATGGCTATCGGGCTGTGTCGTGCGATCGCGGCCGAGCAGCCGCACATCCAGTTCCAGCACCTCGACATCGAGGACGCGGTCGATGCAGGTGCCGCGAAGGCTGTGGCCGAGGCGCTCGTGCGGTTGGTCTTCGCCTCGCAGACGCGTCTGGCCACCAAGAACGTCCTGTGGACCTGCGAGCCGGAGCTGGTGCGCGAGAATGGACAGTGGTTCGTGCCGCGGATCGTTCCGGATAAACGACTCAACGACCAGCTGAATGCGCGGAAGATGGTTGTGCAGGGCACAACGACGTCCGAGGAGACGCTGGAGCTGGTGAAGCAGGCGGATCGGTTTGTGCTGTCGCCTGCGTTGCCGTCGGTTGTGGAGAAGGATGGTGCGGTGGAGGTCAAGGCAACGCACGCGCTGGTGAATGCGGTGCAGCTGGATCAAGGCTCGGTTTGTGTGGTGGCTGGAAACTTGGTGAACAAGCCTGATGTCCAGGTTGTCGCATTCACCAACTCGGTGGGTTCGGTGGTCACTGTGTCAGAGGAGATGGTGTTTGCGGCTGATAACGCCAGCCCGTCGCTGCTGCAGACACTTGCCTTCGGGCTCGTCGCTGATGAGTGGCTGCATGGCTTGTCATCGTCGGATGTGCTGGTTCTCCACCAGGCTGACGAGCAACTGGGCCGTGTGCTGAGGAGCAAGGCTGCGGAAGCCGGTGTGAAGGTGGTTGACGTCCGCACGCATGCCTATGCCTCCGAGCGCAGCATCCGCGCGCAGATCCCGCCCTCGACCAAGCTCCTCGTCGACTTCGCCGAGTCTTCCGTGCAGTGGGAGCGCATTATCCCGGCGCAGTGTAAGGTTCGGAGTTATGGCGATGCCATCGCGCCTGGAACCAGCACCGCCGACACCGCCAACTTGAACACCTCCCAACTGCAAAGGGCTGTCTCCTGGGCGCAGCAGCAGCCCGACGACGCCACCCTCGAGACAATCCCGGCTGCAGAGCTGGCCAACACACCCACTCCTCCCTACCACGCTATCGTCTCTTTCTCCCCCTCCACAACCATCCCCACCATCACGCGCCCCATCAACCCAGCCCTCCTCTTCCGTCCCGACAGAACCTACCTGTTGGTGGGCTGCACCGGCGGGCTCGGCCAATCGCTGTGCAGATGGATGGTCCTCAACGGCGCGCGCCACCTAGCCCTAACCACCCGGAACCGCACGCGCATCTCGACCACCTGGCTAGCCGACCTCTCCCAACTAGGCGCCAACGTACGACTCTTCGAAGCCGACGTCGCCGACATGGGCTCACTCACCACCGTCCACCAGACCATGACGGCCAGCATGCCCCCCATCGCCGGCATCGCCAACGCGGCCATGGTGCTCTCCGACCGCTCCTTCGGCGAGCTCAAGCACAGCGACTTCACCACCGTCTTCGGCCCCAAAGTCCAAGGCACGAAGAACCTGGACACGCTCTTCCACTCCCAAAAGCTCGACTTCTTCATCATGTTCTCCTCGCTAGCCAGCATCGTCGGCAACCGGGGCCAGAGCAACTACGTCGCGGCCAACCTATTCATGTCGACCGTCGCGGCGCAGCGGCGGGCGCGCGGGCTCGCCGCGTCGGTGTTCCACATCGGCATGGTCCTGGGGGTGGGGTACGTCAGCACCACGGGGGTGTACGAGACGACTCTCCGACAGTACAGGTACATGCCGATCGCCGAGCCCGAGTTCTGGGATATGTTCGCGCAGGCGATCATCATCGGCCACCCGACCCTTGGCGGGGGCCATGCGCCGGAGATGATCACGGGGTTGCATCGACACAGTCTCCGCGAGGAGGCGGGGAAGGCGTTCTGGGCGGAGAACCCGCGGTTCAGTCTGCACACTGTACAGGAGGAAAGCCAGGCGGTGGTGGGGGATGCAGCGACGGCCAAGCAGGTCCCGCTGGCGGAGGCGGTCGCTGAGGCCGGCACGTTGGAGGCGGTGGACGGCGTCATCCAGGAGGCATTCGTCGGGAAGATGGAGCGGATGCTGCAGGCGGCCAAGGGGTCGATCGAGCGCGGTCAGCCGCTGATCAATCTGGGGGTGGACTCGTTGATTGCCGTGGAGATCCGGTCGTGGTTCCTGAAGGAGTTGGAGGTCGATATGCCGGTGCTCAAGCTCGTGGGCGGCATGTCCGTCGGGGAGTTGTGTCGGGAGGCGGCGGGTGAGGTGCTCAAGAGTTTGCCTATCAAGGTGTGATTGTGCCCCTGTATATATTGAGTTGTTGTGCGGACTCTTCAATGGACTGTTTGCGATAAATGTTATCTGGTCTGTAATATATGCAGGGGTCGGAGAGGGGGAAGCGCAGTAGTTTCAGGATTCTTTCTTGCGCATAGACTGTGGGCAAGAGGAGCTAGACAGCTATATTGCAATAATCACAGTAGTAAATCAAGCTACATGTCAAGCTATATTGAAGATCTTTACCGAAAATGACGGAGGATTTGGGACTCTATCCAATGTACAGAGCATGCATATTAGCCCTTCAATCTTTTCTGTTAAGATTTCATCTCGCGCTAAAGACGAAGGAGTGCATGGAGGTCTGTCTACCCTAGATTGACTGATAGATCTTCTTGGGTTTAGAATAGGTACATCTACATACAGAAAAAGACTTGGACATAGTTACTACTGCACTTAGAATACCTAGCTAGCCAGGGAGTTTGATTTTTATAGAGTCTCTTAGCTACTGTATGCTTCTGGAAGGCACCGAGGTGAATGGTAAGCAGCAGCCTGGTGAGGGCGGCCAACAAATTCGTTTGTGGAGATCCGGTGAGTCAGTCGCTTCTTTTCCAGGGCATTACAACCTACTGTTGCCTGACCTTCCTGGCATAATCCTTCCGAACGTGGTCCATACAGAGAGCTGCCAACAGAGGGCCGTCTACTCGAGAAACTTTCGCACAAACGTGGGTGTCCCATCGTTGAAATCATTCCAGACCTCGTCTCCCACGCCTATGGGATTCTACATCCAAAGAGATGGGCTAATAGTGGTGTAGGACAGGATGAGGGGTTTCAACAGCTGTAATATCGCCCAGTCGAGAGTGAATAGGTTCTGTCACGGGTATCTTTGACCTTGCCTTGAAAGGTAACCCAGGTTTGCCTGAGGTTAGGCGGCTATTCAAGAGAGTAACTGGCTTGGGAATGTGCAAGTCACCTGTCCGGCAGGGATATCAAGAGCTACATCGTTGACCGTACAGACATCCTTTCATCCACTTACACCTTAGCACCCTATTACAAATTCTTCACCAACTTCTATTCACCGATCAACGCAAAAGACCATCACACAAGACCGTACAGAATGGAAGAAGAAGCGATCGTCGCCACCGTCTGCACCGCAGACATACCCATCTCAGTAAACATGTTGACCCTTTCTTTGCCATTAAACACGTCAACTGATCATGACCTGAGAAAAAAAGCATCACAGACTCTGAACTCCATCCGCGCCGCATCCCAGAACTTCAACACCGCGGGCCCACCCTCCGTCATCGTCCTGGACAGGGCCGACCGCGAGCGCATTCAACAGCTGACGAGAGACTCCACCACACAAGGTCACGTCGATGAGGGTTTTGTCTCCCCCTTCGTGGGAATGACACCCACCGAGGTCGTCCACTTCGTCGCCGAGAAGGCTCAAAGACACCGTTATCAGCGAGTTCGACGTCTACATCGCGGACGAGCGCACCATCCTCGTCCAGACACTGCTACTAGTGGGGCTTAACGGCCACGAGATCCAGGCAACGGTGCGGGTTGCGCCCGAATACTTGGAATCCAGGCGGTGAATCTGGTCATCTGGAACACGGATGCCATGGAGATGAAGCAGATAGCTGAGGGCGCGGGCGGGGTATTCAGGTATTAAATCAGTTTACGGGTTCATGCATGGGATGATAGTGGTTTTTGTTGAGATGATGCACTGGTTTCGGGGATTCTAGTCAATCAAGACATGTCTTTGCGAGTTGGTGGCTTTGGGAGTAACTAGCGTTTGTTTTCCGGGCCTGGAGGTCAAGATGCCAAGCACTCTTTCTATTCCTGATTAGATGGTACTGTCCGTTGAAGGTTGGTTAGATTGAAGTTACGAACCAGCCCAGAGTACATACATAGCTGAGGGTTACGGAAGGTGCATACCGCACGGCTGCTCAAGGAGAGGTGTCATCCTCTATGATACTACTTACCTCTACGTTGCTTACAGTACCAGTCCTTTCTGAAGGACTACTTATCACCAATCGATATACTTCTCCTACCTACGGAGATATGTGATCAAATTGGCAGTGATAGCTGAGCCACAACCATAGAGACCAGGCTCTCACTCTACAAGCTCAACCTCCCATAACGGCTGTGGTAGCTTCACGTCGCTACGTCTAGAGATACGAAGCAGTAGTCCTCGGTCAGCGTTGCACTGCGAGCTGATATCCCATTTGAGCTTCCATCCTCAGATCGCCATTGTCACCTTATAGACACCCGGAGTCATCCCAGACCATGAAACCAACCTAACGCAAAAAGAGGCGACCCCACGCCATCCTCACGCCTCCAGAGCACAGCACACGAGAAACCTCTCCATCCCAAACCACCCCGCGACCCTCATGACCCATCCAAACTCAAACCCCCTGCTCTACAGAATCTGTAAAGCCAACCTCTCTCTCTCTTGCTCCTCACCAAATGCACCCACTAAACCAAATCAAACCACCGAACGGTAATTCAATCCGACATAGCAGGACCATATGAAGAGGGGATACGGTCTGTGCTGTTAGAACGTTTCGTCAAACGTCCCAGGCCACTTTTTAATCGCCAAAAAACAAACCATTGAGACCCGACACAGCTGTCAGCTTCCCCCTCGGGGATGGGTTCTTGTCTCGTTTGTTTGATTTTCCCCGCAACTTCCGCGTATCTCTTGGCTTGATCCATGGTAGCTAAGCATGGAGCCAAGAGCAGTTCTATGTACTCACCTTTTGGGCGCGGAGCTTTGTGTGTTGTGGGGCAGGCCTGGCCTGTTGGCTTTATGCGCCAACGCTCGTATAATTGTTAAGAGTATAGATCAAGGAATACACTTGATCGAGGTTATAAGTCTGGTTGGACCGTGAAGGTCGGGGCAGCTAGGGGCAAGACGCTTCTCATACTGGGATCCGGAAGGATGGGTATGGTGGGAGTCACCTCTAGTTGCTTGAGAGGGGGAAAGATCTTTCGTGGAGATGGAGGGGCATTGTATAGTGTGAGGAGGGCAATGCTCTAAAGGAGTGTCTTTGTTAGTGTTACGGTGGTCGTCCGTTGTTGGCTTTGTTCTGAATGGAATGTTAAGGGACTGAACAAAGGAAGACATTGTTACAGAGGACTTTAAAGGAAATTTTCAAGATAGAAGAACGGAGCTCAAAGAACTGGGTGGGAATGTCCTATTGTATGGGCAAAAGGCTCCGCAAATTGAGTTTGCCGATGATATCCCCGGCGGCGTATGAATCACAGAGCAGCTTATGTTCCTTGTAATGTGCATGGGATGTCGGTAATTGTCCTAGACTCTAGAAGAACAAGGGCCATCAGACACCTGTGCCTGAGGATATGATTATCTATGCTACCGGCGCTTGATGGGGCATTTGGATATCGCCATTCATTTGCGCCGGTTATTGCTTACTGAGTGAAATATAATTACTGGCTAAAGCGAAGTAACTTAAGAGGCAAGGTATGGACAATACTAGCAGATGAGTTGCAGCTGAAAAAACAAAAAATTCCACGACGGAAGAGTTAAACCCGAAGACAAGAGCCACACTGATGCCTCATAGTAGGTAGTCATCAATGTAGAGCTAACAGACCTTTCCTCCGGGAAACAAGATGCCCGATCTTGACTGCTTGCCTTATATTGGGCGATGGCTACCAGACCTGGATGGCAACGAGTGCATCCAAAGCAGAAGAATAATCAGAAATCCTAATACTTCCCATAACGGCTGTCGATCTTCCACCTCATCAGAGAAAGCGTCGTAAAGTCCCCGTCAAATTCTCCAAAGACGACAACTTTCTCATCTCGCCGCAGGCGGATCGGCATGCTACTGCCAAGCTTGTCGAACACTTGGGCGCTGAGCGTTTTCCTTTCCGACAGCAACCAGGCTAGCAGAGATACAAGGTGGCTGTCTTCAGCCTCGCCAATGCAAGAGACTTTCGTCAGGGCTGAAAGTTTGTCACGAGTCTGCAAATTCACAAAGGAAATCGTCCGGAAGTCGCCGTCAATCTCCCCCCAGACCCGATTGTACTTTGTGTGAACCCGCAAACGAATCTGTATACTATTGCCACTGCGGTCGACCACAGCCATTGCCACATCCCCTTTTACCGGAAAGCACGCGGACAAAAGTGCTAGTTCGTCATCCTTATCAGCCTGCTCATTCAGACTCTCCTCACGAGCCCAAGCCAGCGCATCATCCCGATTGCGCAGTTCCGCCCTCAGCTCCTCCGGCGACAGCGTCTGGCGTATGATCTCCAGCTCATAATATGGCGGCCCACGACGACCCCATTCGCGTACAATATCCTCAACGAAGTTGACATCACGACGAACCGGATTCTCGACCTCGGGCAAACGCGTGGCCCGGAAACTCATAGTCCCTGGACCAGGCCACCCGGATCCCCACATGAACCCAAACTCACCCTCGAGTGTCTTTGTCCAGGGTTTGATCCGCATCTCGCTCGGGATACAGCTGGTCTCCTCCCGACCCCAGCCATCATCCTCGGCCCAGCTCATCCATTCAACCGGCAACGATGGACTAAAGCCGGTGGCCGGGTCACACTGCTGGATGGTAAAGGCTGGATCGATCAGGAAAACGCCCTCGAGGGGCCTGAATTTAAAACTCCCCCAGAGCCGATCGTAGTCCCATAGCAGCAGAGGCGGAGACCGGCGCCTAGCCATGGGCACTTGTCGATGCGAACCTCGTAGAGGCCTTGGATGCTACGGAGAGCGTGGCGATCGCTTGCAGAGATGGGGAGGGCGTTGAGCCAGGCGTTCTCCTCGAGGAATTTGCGCGTGCGTGCCTGCTGCGCGTGGTGGGGATCAATCGTTGCGGGGATGGGCATGGGCATGGGAGTTGTCCATGCTGTGGTCGAGAGATCTTGCATCGCGCTTGTAGCTGGAAGGCAGGATGTAGAAAAGGGCAAGCCTCGGTAGGGGTTCTGTTTCTGACAGGGAAAGGGGAGGAGGGTGTTAGGAGGAAAGGAAAGATTATTGAAGAGAAGAACACTTGAAGTTGACTTTTCGAGAGAACAGGCGGCATATGGAAGGTGCGACAACGGCCCTTGAAACTTAACCTGCCTTGCTCTCACATAATGATCACGTAGCTCCTGATAATTCCAGACCTACTTCAGAATGCCTTATAGCAAAGAATATGACAGAATGTTACTCCAGACGGAATCGGTTTCCGTATGCGCGACCTCGGGTCAAAATAGGCACAGCTGCTGCCTGGCACTCTCCAGGAGATGTTAGCCTACGGAAGTACTCTTGCGAGAGATACCAATATCCACAAAATGGTCAAATCTAGACTCTACTGGAATATATGACTCATCTTCTAGCGATGCTGCGTTGTGTCTGTGCCCGGAGAACGTGGTTCTGTACGATAGCCTGGGAGAAGAACTTGGAGAGCTACGAGGTCTCAAATGCCGAAACGCTTATGTCTCTTCTCAGACTCTGGAGGATTCATGCTATAAATTCAGAGTCAAGCATAACATTTCCAAGATTGTACAGGAGCTCTGAAACAAGAAAAGATTGAGACCTCAATCTCAACAAGGCTATATCCTCAATCACTTTTGGCGGATCTTCTACTGGCTTGGCGAGCATTCAAGCACACATGGACACCACGGGGACTCAAGAAAGTGGATTCTCTGCGAATGAGAAAGATAGCTCGACCAGAACGACAAGCAATTGCCACATTCGCCCCTGACTTGCGCATGCAAGATTTAGTGAGCGGTCGATATTGCCAGGGCAACCACAGCAGATTGTCTCCGTTCCAAGTAATCCACGAATTATCCAAGGAGATCCCATACCCAACTGGTATCCACGGGCTGTTCTCAGTAGCGTCGTGGAGATAGCCGATATCCTTCAAATCAAAGACCCCCAAACTCGTCTCAAGACTATTCTCGACAAGCCCGTGAATTTTGATGATGCAAACCGATTGATCGACAGCATCGCAGGATCTAAATGTGATAAAGTCCCAAATATTGAATATAAGACTGGTCTCACATATGTCCAGTAAAGGTTGATCAAACTCATGGTGTTTCAAGGCATAGACCTCTAGAGAGCCGATATGCATTCCATTGACTGCGTCATAGAGAAAGCCATAGTGGTTGTATCCCCAGGCGATGCGACTGTTGTCATGAGACCATATAACATGCCATTGACGAACGGAAGATAAATCGTCTTTTCCGGTCGGGTCGTGGAGCTCAAGATGCTGTCCCGTGGCAAGATCCCAAAGTCTTACTGTACCATCACTCTTGGATACTGATGCGACTTTCTGTCCATCGCAAGACCAGGCCAGTGCCTGAAGCAGATCAGAATGGCGCAGTTCCCTTAGGCATTCTCCGGTGGCAGAGTCCCAGGTTTTAACGGTTCCATCTTTTGCTGACGCTAGTTGGCACCCGTCCGGCGACCAGACAAAGGACCCGGAATCATAACCACCGCCTGGATTATGTGATAGAGCTAAAAGCCGCTTTCCTGACACAATATTCCATACACACAAGACCCCCTTATAAAACGTTCCTAGTTTGCCATTTGATGACCAGGCCACTGTCACGGCAAAACGTGGAAAATAACATTCAATCTCGCAAACTCGGTCACCGGTGCCCGTGTTCCAAATCTCAAGAATACCCTCGCTGGTTAGTGACGCAACACGAGCTCTACCATGCGACCAATGGAGCGAGAAGATCCAGCCACGATTGGCTGGTGAGTATGGGATCTTTTGGCCCAGGGCCTTTCTTCGTAACTTCGTGAAGTGGGATCGAACGTACGCCAAAGTCCGGCGGTGCCGTGAGTGAGTCCTTGCTGCCACCTGAACAGAACGCTCTGCAAAAGCTGGGAAGTTTCTGGTTGGCGTTGTGTCCCAGATCCTGATCACTTGATGTGAGTAGGATGCAAGTCGATTTCCGTCGGGAGCCCAGCAGAATTCCTTGGCTCCGAAGGTTCCGTGTCCGTCGAGCGTCCAGACACATACTCCGAGTTTTGGATCCCAGATCCTAACTTTACCATCGAAATCACTTGTCGCGAGTCTAGTTGAATCGGGCGACCAGCTAATTTTGAGAACAAAGGGGGTGTGTCCTTCCAGCACATGTCCGGGTCTCCCAGTGGCCAAATCCCAGATGACCACTCTGGTCGACGATTCCCATGCGAGCATACTTCCATCGGGGGACCATGAATCAGCATGGAGACTAGGCTGCCAATTGTATTTCAAGCTCCTCAAACAAACCCCTGTTCTACTGTCGTGGATGGCGTGGTGAAAGTCGTCGTTGTTGCCGAAAGACCAGGGTTTCGCAATATACAGGCAGCCATCGTGAGACCAGCATTGTATGCGTGAACCACCATCGAGGATTACACGTTGCCTACCATGATCAGGAGATCTGGAAACATTCCACAGTTGAAATTCGCCCTCTGAGTACGAGACGAGATGCTTTCCATCTCCAATCCACTGTACCAACACATGCGAGTGTAAGGACTTGGAGTCGAGTATGCGAATACACTTTCCGGTGGTAGCATCACAAATACGAATCCTGGTGCAGTCATCTCCAAAGATCGAAGCGACACAGCCTGTGTGTCGGCTTAAGCGATACCTATTGGGCCTGCCAGGAAGTCTCTCCAGCTTGATACTCGAAATATGTTGTCCAGTTCCGGGATCCCAGCTGCTCACAGTCAGGTCTGCTGCCATACATAGCAGCCGGTCACCATCCTGTGACCAGCCGATCTCAGTGAAATCACAGCCGTTGCTCACGATGGTATTAATACAACGACTCCAATTCTCCTCGACCACAGGGATTTTGGTAATCCACGTGGGTCTTTCGTGCTGGTAAAGAGCTTTGACCAGACTCCGATTCGGGCTCCAAATGAGTGCTGAGCTATAGACTTGGAGCGGGCTGGTTTCGATCGGGACCTTGAACTCGCGCATGTATCGGGAAATGTCATTCACAAGGCTTGACAATTTGTCCGCGCACTTTGCTTTCTAAAAGAGTACAGGAAAGTGATCATAGTCAGCTTTTTTCTCTTTATTACACCGGGTATGCGTACCTGCAGAAAGCTATCAAGTATGAGGATAGCTCCAATGCCTCCAGTAAACTGGCCGAGAATGCTAAGAGCCTCGAGCCAGTAAAGTAGTTTCTGTTCCAGAAGGAGCTGAATCGGGCCATCTGTAGACAGGTCGACCGTGTTCCTAGGATCTGCTGCTAATAAATGATCAATCCAATATGTGCAACAGTAACGTGCTTGTGCCAAGGGGTCAGGTGTAGGACGGCAGATGTCCTCGACTCGACCCCCTGGATTCTGAATGTTGTATATGTCACGTCGAAGCGTCTGGTTCATCACCTTGATACACTGAGACAACATCCTACTGTGTTCCGTCTCAAGTCCGGCTGGGATTATGGGTTTGCACGTCAGCAAGAAATCCTTCGCAGACTGATGAACAAAGTAAATGGTGTCTTCCCGAATAGATAAGAATGAGCCACAAAGCTTAATAATCTGCGTTATCATCCGAGAATCTGTCGAGAATCGTGAGGGTAGATCGGTAAGTACTGGTAGCTCTTCAACTACCAGAGGCCGGTATGCGGTACAGACGGTGGCGAGAATCACTCGACACAGCTGTCTACTTTCTGAAATTTCAATATCGCGCATCATGCGCTTGTAGAGATTATCGAGACTCGCCGGAAAGGAAGCAAGGGTATTTTCCACTTCGCATGCCGACGTACTGGCAAGCCGCTCACAGACCAAGGCAACCCATAGAAATGTATCATTGGAGTTTGACGTCAAATATTCTCGGGTAAAGTCTTTGGTGTTCTCGTCGTATCCATTCAGCGCGGTGAGGAAGTCCACCTTGATCCGAATATAGGACTTCACAGCAGCAGCGACAGAATTCTCGTTCAGTTCGAGAGACAAAGTAGAGCAATATGTAGCCGTCAAATGCTTCTCAATATCAGGCAAATTCCGACTCGAAACAATCCACTTGACCCGAGGATTTTCCGTTGACCGTTTCACCAGCTCAAGCAGCAACGGCAGGCAGGTGCTGCACTCGTCCAAAGCATCGATGATTAACAACGTAGTCTCTAAATCTGGGTCCTCCAATATTTCGAGAAACATTTTCGATAGAGCGTACCAAGCATTGGTATCTTCGAAAAGCGCTTTTCCTTCCACGTCGTAGCGCGGCCGGATATAGGAGAGCAGATTTGGCCTTTGGTCCACGAGTAGAAAGATTAAGCCTCGCAAGACGGATGTTGCATCGTTCAGGCGAGCATCGCTCTGTTGACAGAAGAAATACGACAATGTGCAGGTCCCGGGCAACTCCTTTGTCAATTCATCAATGATCCCGCAGAGGAGCATGGTCTTTCCTTTGCCGGGATCAGCGCGGATCCAAAGTAGGCGGTCGTTAACATCACGATAGGGCTCGCCATCATTTCGCCATTTTCTGAATTCGTCGTTGCTCAAAACCCAACGATATGAGTCCATAAGCAGGCCTCCCTTGAGATCCTGGATTCGGGCCTTGTCATCGCGAGGATTGGTTATCCGAAGATCCCGAAGACAAACTTCATTGCGTGAGGCTTGCGATGGTCCTAGAGCAAAGAAGAACGACCAGATCGAGTAAGATCAGCATAGTGTCAGACTGGTGTGACTGCAACGGTTTACCGTGATGATTGTGGAACTCAACATTGCCGTTGTTCTGGCCAAGCTGGAGCCCCGCGTTTGTGGAGTTGTTAAACAGCGCTGTTGAGGTGTTCATTCTGTGACAGATTATCTGCTAATTGCGGCGTGGGAGCCACCATGTGGTGATCTTCCGCGTGTGGGACAAGTTAAACAAGAACCAAGGTCTGTGGATGATGACTGGGGAAGCGGAGGAATCTTCGTACGCTATCACGGACCCCTCATTTCAGCTGACCAAATGCAGTGACATCGCCTGCAGGTGCGCCTAACTTGCAGGGTGCATTGGTCCAATGACAACAACAAAGATTGTTACAGGGGTCGACATTAGTCTGCCGGATTCGTGCAATCATCTTCCTAAATGCGGTCGACCGCGGCTATTTTGCACGCTTCCCGCTGAGATGTTATATTTAGTCACTGACTTCTGCGCGTCTCGAATCTCATCAACCTTGGTGTTCACAGTGGAACGGCAGCCAAGCCATTGAAAATTAATCTAGTGCAACTTGGCCAATAACTTTTCTTTCGGTCTTGACAGTTATTGCTTTCTTATTTTGAGACTATCATAGGACTCTCAAAGCATTCGAGTGAATCAACAACACGAGTTAATACCAGCCCTTTACTCCAAGAACCTCAAGACCGTGGCGAGTCTTAGATAGGTTTTCTACTGGCATTCCCCTCAAAACCTTTTTTATTCATTTTGGTGACGCAACAGTCAAGAAAGAATTTCTGTGAAGGTAATCGAGGAATAGGATACCACAACTCGATTATACTATAGGTACTATAATCTATGATACAATCTCCCACAACTGAAAGCCAGAGAAGCCAATGCCTCGCTAAGCCGGCATCTTCAACCCCGTGACCTCCTCACAGGCCCTAATAGCCTTCTCCTGGAGCCCAACGTCCTGCGTCGCTGGAAGAGCACTACCGCGCTTCCTCTTAGGCTCAAAGTACGCCCCCGTGATACTCTGATCATACTCCCCCTCCGCCAGCATAACATACGTCTCGACCCCATCCTCCAACCGATCCGGCGCCCCCGCACCCCCCAACTTGGTCGCCACCCACCCCGGATGCACAGAGACCACACTCGACGTCCCCTGCCACAATCGCGCAAACGCATTCGCAACCAACATAACATGAAACTTCGAATCGCAATACGCCTGGAAATCCTGGAAGGTGCGCTCGCCCCGCTTTCGCCAGAAAATATCCTCCACGGCGGTATTCCGCGCGCTGCGGTGCAACTGCGAGGAGATGACGATCAACCGTTTCGGGCGATGCAGCAAGCACGCGAGGATATACGGCGCCACCACGTTGACAAACACCATGGCCGGGATGCCGGTGTCCGGGGTTTTGCGGAAGGGTCCGGAGAGCATCCCCGCGTTGAGGATCACCGCGTCGAATGTGCCGATGGCGTTGGCTTCTTCGGCCAGGTGGCGCGTCGCTTCGAGATTGCTGAGGTCGGCGATGAGGACCCCCGCGGCGCCGGGACAGGATGCTTGGGCGTGGTCTGCGCGGTCTTGGTTGCGCGCGTGCAGGTAGACGGTGTGGCCGCGCTGGACGAGTTGGCGGGCCGCTTCCAGGCCGAAGCCGTCGGCGGAGCCGGTGATGAGGACGCGGACCATTGTGGTCAGTGGATTGCAGTGCGGTAGTGGGAATAGTCGAGTGCAGATGGAGAAAGTTTGACTCGAGGACACTGCTCGTGTGGACGGAGGACTAGATTGACCTATTCGAGATCAGGGATCCGGGAACACGAGAGTGCTTGCTCTTGGGCACTCGCAAAGAATATATCCATTTCGTCGGCAAATGCAGTTGACATCATGTTATCATTCTCGGAGACCGCGTTGGTAAGTCCGGTTACGACCGGGCTTGCCGGTGGGTCTCGCCATGAAGAATTCTTCCAGAAGCCCGCCTCGCACTCGAGGCTGTCCCACACTCCCATCCTTTGCCATGTGGGGCCAAGCACAGGGTAACAAGAGCAAAAAAGAAATGTCCCGAGGGAGGTTCGAACTCCCGGCCTTGGGATCGCCCAGAAGTGATCTTCCGAGTCATACTGATGTATGAGACCCACGTGATAACCAACTACACCATCGAGACAAGTTGTTGAGAGGTCGCGTCTGGGTTGGATTGTAGTAGCAAAACGCCCGGAAGTGCTCACAACCGCTCAAACCGAACCGCATCTTGGAACCCAGCAACAACCACGTTTGCGGATATCGGAAGTTGCCGCCGTAGCTAAGCGCAAATTTGCCAAACTTACTGAAACTCTCAAGTGTGAAGAATTATCATCCGCTTCTCTCTTTCAGGATGCCACGTACAAAATGCCCCCTAAAAATTGGCATTATAGATGATTTCACTTCATCATTGTCCACGGTCATTAGCCTCTCCCGATGTGTCGGAAATTCCAGCCACGGAAATGCTTACCTCGGCTCTGATTCGCTGCGTCCCTCCGGACATACCCCACGCACTGGTACAGTACTATTACGATCGGGTTCACACTTCGTCCAAGTCCGAGCTTACCTAGCCTCAAAGACTTGCGAAATAGTGACCTGTGCAAGTCATCATGTCGACTTCAGGTGAAAGCAGAAGTGTGCCGGATGTCAACTCAGTCTATTTCAACATCCTGGTAGCTAAATTTCGATTTCCGTTACTTCCTACATAGTTTGGTCCATCCCTTCCGTATTTCGATCGCAAAGCGGTACATAAGTACAACGCACCCAAATACTATAGCTCTGATCAGTCAGGTTCAATCCCACATCATACCCAAATATAGACACCAGAAAATGAGGCAATAGAGCAAATACGGCCTATTTATAACCATACAGGCGGACCAAGGGTTGGTCGTCGATTTGAATACACCATGAAGATTCGTTTTAATTAGTGCTGAGGATTAGAGACTTTGACATAAGATACTGGGTATTGTGATGAAGCCAAAATCAGTTTCTTGTGAGATCGTAAACAAGCTTCTCGCCACTAATCTTTCCTTCCCTCAACAGCTGCAGCCCGTCCAAAACACCATCTAGCCCGCCATCGCCAACGCGAACCGGATGGAGCTTGATCCTGCCGCTCGCCAGCAACTCCTCGAAGATAGCCGTAAAAGCTTCCGCAAATTCTCTATCGACGGGCCGCGCAGGAATCTCTTTGGATCCAAAGATGAATCTCTCACCGAACGCGGTGTAGGCCATCGTGGCTCGATCGCGTACATTCTCCCGTTCAATTGCGATCGGTAGCAGGGAGCTATAATCTCCCCCCTGCGAAGAAAGAGCCATATCGCAGAATCTGGCACTGCTTTCGACGGACACGGTATCGAAAGCCAGAGTAAGGCTGTCGTTGGTATACTTTCTGATTGCGTTGGCGGCATCGGGATCGTTGTAGTCGAAAACCGCGTCCGCACCCAGGGACTTCACTCGATCGGCGTGACGAGGAGAACAAGTCGTCAGAACAGTATACCCAGATAGCTTGGCAAGCTGGATCGCCAAGGTCCCGGTCGCTGTTGATCCTCCGTACACCAACACCGGGATTTTCTCATGCGCTGGAGACGTGGGTAGTGAAAGGCGAAGGCTCTGGTAGAGGCCCAGAGCGGCAGTGATAGCTCCTAGGCCTAATGTTGCCGCCTCTTCGAAGGACATGCTCTCAGGGATCCTGTACTGGAGATCCCCCTTGACGACAATGTATTCCGCGAACGCCCCATCCTCTGGCTGCACGGCATTGGATCCGTGTACAAATCCACAGATGCGATCGCCTTTGACAAATGGTTTCTTGACAGCTTTGCCGACGTCCTCCACGATGCCGGCGTAGTCGCACCCGACAAGTACCCCGGGGCTGGCGAGGTAGTCGATATGTTTCCAGTCAGTGGGGTTCAGGGCGACACTGGTGGTTTTGACTAGGATGCAGTCGTCCCGCAACTTGGGAATGGGCCGGTCGTGAACCAGTTGTGCATGTTGCGGTGCGGTGATGATGACTGCTTTTTGGTATGCCATGATAAGGATCACTCGATGTAAGGATCCAGGTAGCGGAAACTATTGAATCGATGGCATGGTCTTGCCAGCATGGTACATGATATACTCACAACATCGGAGTAGGTCACGGAGATTAGCGGTGAAATAAGGTATACTTGCGCTGCATCATGATGGATCATGGATCCGCCCGACTGTAGAAGAGTGGGTCTGTCGGGCCAATGAGACTCAATCTGTAAGCATCGGATTTTAGAGTGGGTCTGAGCGAAGGTATTCCCATGGCACACCCTGGCAAATGAATTGACAGAGCAGATAGTTGATGATGTCAGAAACAAAACCACGTTTTTCTGACCATAATTGGCCATGTAAGTATGCACCCATTAGTTATCCATCCGGAGATGCAGAACACCGCCTATCCCCGACACGGTTATCCGTCGCTGGATGGAACCATAACTGTCAGATAGTCCCCCTACCCCAGATAATCACCAAACACCCTCCGCCAAGCGAGTGGCTTCTCATCTCTCTGAGCCCTCCACTTATTCGTCGAAACAAGAATGTCTGGACATCCGCGAAGAAAGTACCCCCACTTCCTCGCAAACTCCTCCGTGACCTCCCAATTCGATGGATCCCACGGATCCCCCCAGACAAGTAAGGTTGCGCTGCTGCTCCGCGTATCCCAGAAAGCGGTTAGATCATGACAGAACCCATGACCATCCAGCAAATCCCCCGCGCGGATCAGGTTATCCCGCATTTGCTCGAAGGGGAAGATGTCGAGCCAAGGGTGATGCGGCACTGTTCGCTGCACGGGCGTCGGTCGCAGCCGCTCCGGGATCGCGCTCAAGGTATACTGCGGTGAGTGAGGGCCATTCATGCTGAATATTGAAACCGCGTCGTCGCGACACATCCAGTCAACGGTCATACCGGCGATGACCGCGTTCTGGTACGCTGCGCGAATTACGTTAAGCCGACTCAAACTAAGGAGGAGATCTGTCCGAGGTGAACCCATAGCGTGGGCAGCTCGGGCGCGTTTCTCAAATTCAACCATCAGGGTGTGGAAATTGGGAGGGGCGTAGGTGTATCGCGTGGGATCCACCTCGGGGAGGTTATAGAAAATAGAGTTGTGGTCGCTGGATCGGTGAGGCAATGTCTGAACTCGGGATTCATCATGACCGGCAGCGGCTCGAATTGTTTTGCGATTCGAAGGCAGTCTGTCCTTCGTACTGCGCGGGTTTTGACGCTGGCCTTTAATGTAAACCATCAGCCTTTGTCAGCAGCGGGGATGATAAGGAATTGCTGGGAGGCCTCACGGTAGGCTCTTTGATTCAGACGATTCTGTACACGTCGCCGCAGTACCGGATCGGTGACCCCTAGCAAATCGTCCTCGGGTGCATCAGCTGTGGTCGCATGTCGCACATGATGCCGACGCTTGATCCCGGATTCTGCATTCAGCATTGCCAAGGCTTCAACAAATGTGGAAATTGTCGTCCGATCGCTCACAGCGGGAGTCTAAGTCGCCGGTGTTAAGAATGGTCAAAGACGACGACTCCGTTCAGGAATTTTGAGATGCAGATGCTTACTCCAACACAATGATTGGTGACAGGAGAGAATGGGAGGTCAACTTTAACACTTTCGCCACCCACAAGGTTAATCAACCCCAGCTTGAGGTGATTTGTAATCCAAATAATCCCCATCGGCCTCCCGTACCTTCAGTGGGCCGGAGATAGCTGTTAAGGTTCAACTGGATCGATGATGTTCCACACTTATTTTGTAACTTATCTCGGGTGGGGCGTTTGAATAAAACTGAATACATCGAGGCAGTTTTCAAAGAACAATGGTCTGGAGGTTGTATATAAGGTCACAATCCTATCAGTGTTCCTAATTCTTCCCATCAGCTCTTGGTATATTCAATTGAACATTGCATGCACGATGGCATCTCACCCTGCTCTCATTGCGACTAATGTCAAAGAACCGCTAACCATTCAGCGAGTCCCAACACCTGAGCTCCAACAAAATGAAATCCGTGTCCGGATTGAATGGGTGGTATCTGCCCCTTTGGATGTTTACCAAGTCGACGCGGGCTTGATGGCTCAGTTTCCTCAAAGCCTGGGCGACAGTGGTGTCGGCACTGTAGTGGCAGCTGGCCCTGGGGTCAAACGCCTACAGGCTGGGGATCAGGTCTTCGGTTTCTTTTTCCACAACGAGAAGGAGAAGGGGCAGCAGGTGTATGTTACGGCACCAGAGCATCTGTTCGGAAAGGTGTGATGATTCCCGTTCACTGTGTGTCTCCTCTACCCACATCTGACGCAGAATCCAGGTTCCCTCTGGCATAGCTATGCCCGCGGCCGCTACGGTGCCAACTAATGTTTGTACCGCCTACTTCACTTTGACAGGGAAGCTGAACCTCGAGCTCCCCTGGCCGCGCCCCTCAGGATTCTCACCAAAAGATCCAGAGAGTCCGATCATTATCTGGGGAGGAGGCAGTTCGGTCGGCCAGTACGCCATCCAGCTCCTCCACCACTGGGGTTATAGGAATGTCATCACCACCGCGTCGCCGCAGCACCACGAGAAGCTCAAGCTATATGGTGCCCAGCACGTCATCGACTATCGCGAGTCTAATGTCGTCGAATCTATTCTGGACATTGTGAAGAAGAGCAAACTCTCAGCACCCATCCGCGCCTTCGATTGTGTGAGCTCCAAGTCTGGGTCACTGCAGCATCTCGCCAAGATTGCCTGCCTTCCTGGCTCCATTATCGCAGCTGTTCTTCCTGTCGTGCTTCGGTCGCCTTCAGACCCAGCCGGTGTGCAGCTTTCCGCTGATGTCGAGGGAGAAGTATCGTGGGCGCCTGGC